TTACTAGATCCATCATAATCTTGATGATTGTATCTCTTCATAAACATTTTTTACAATTTATTGCACGATTTTTTTTTCACTATTTTATTAAATTTGGAACTTTGGACAAAATGGTAAAATTTTGTGATTTATAAATGCTCAAAGTTCGACATATGGCGAAATATATCGTTTTGTTTCGTATATATTTTATTTTTTCCAATTTACTATTCTAAAGAACTTTATTTATATGTCTTTCGAATATTGTTTTAAATATTTGTTTGTCCAAGCTATTTGCATATCTTAACGTTATATTATCAGAACAACATGTGTACTAGTACTTAGAAGATTATCCGCTACAATTAGATATTCTGTTCTGGCAACATAACATTTTATATTCGGAGAGTCGAAGTATAATTAGTATTGAGGAATATCTTAATTTGAATTTTATAAAATCTGTGTATAAAAGGCAAAGCCTGTCTCTGTCTTTCTTCATCTTTCACACGATAGAATCAAAGTTAACATATCCCCTAAATTAATGATTTTTCGACATGATCTTTACTATAGTCGTGTATATTTATAATCATATTATGATATTACAATTTTGTAAGAAATGATGCATCAGAAAACACATCATTTTGAATCAGTGCATGAGTGCATCATTTTATTCCATTCATATAATCATAACCATTCATTTCTCACCTGAACTATTTCTTTACATAACAGATAGAGTAATTTGCATTTATAAATTAAAATCAGATAAACACCGATTAAAAAATCAACACTGTAATTGAAACACTGTGATAAAATGTACGTATCTTCGTAAAGCACATTTAGTTTCTCTTGTTTTTCTTTTTTCTTTTTTTTGAGATGCAAACAATCTTCGATCCAATTACTCGTTCGATAATCGACGTTTAATTATCTGTCATTTGCATTCAGATCGTGTTGTTGTGTCGCTATTGCATTTTTCGAAACCGCATTAACGAATTATCATAATTACTTAAATACCGATTACATTGCTTCACTATTTGAACGTACGTCCAATTCAGTGAATAAATCATAAACGATCTAATGAAAAAGTGACAAGGGACGATAATAAGATTTGGCGTGTCGCGATGACGTTTATTGAAATCTTCACATCGTTTGTAACGTAGTTTTACCAAAGTGGAAAGAAATCAGACATCTGCATTGATTTTCAGAGTTGGCGTGAAATAAATAACCACTTGAAATAATGAATTACTTCGAGTAATCTATTATTGTTGTTTCAGTAATAACATGGTAAAAGGTAATTTAGTATGTCATTTAATGTGAGAAAAATAATTTAGTCTGAGAAGATTATTTTCCAAATAATTTCTTATTCGTTTGATCATTCGCATAAAGTAACAAATAATCTGCCACGAGGTTCCTGAAGTCTATACTCGAGAATTAGATAATCCAGAAAGCTAATTAATTATTCAGAATTCACGATCGCTTCACCGATTTGACGAGCTTAAAATATGTTATCAAGATGATTACTTTGAACAATTTTCTTCCACACCAAGATATTCGCTACTGTCAATTAAATACTGTCAATATCATTATAATAAATCCTATCTACATGCAATTATGTTATAGCGTACGTTATAACAATATAAGCGAACCTAAACACAGATATGCAAAAATCGGCCGTGGTTGCATATCGATTAACGGTAATATTAACGATACACATAACCAGTTAAACCAAAAGATAACAATTTAAAGGATTTACGTGGGATTGTAATTTGTCAATACTGACACATGTACTGTCAAGCATAATTACACAGGCAGAATTCATTATAGTGATAGCGACAGTTTTTTTTTTTCTTTTTTTTTTTTTTTTTTTGCGAATATTCCGGAAACCAAAGCTGAACGATGACGATATCGAGCACAGAAAAAAGTTGTTCAGAATCATGCTCGTAACATATTTCAAAGTCGTCGAAATCCATGAAGTGATCGTCATTCCGAGTAATTATCAAAAAACAGCTATTATTCAGTTCATCGATTTTCGAAATTATGTATAATTATTTAAATAATAGTTTCAATGAAAGCATTCGAACAGATTTTTCTTAAAATAGTATTTCCGATAATCTTCTGTCGTATTTTGTAATTTAATT